TCAAGCCACAAAGGGTTGCACCATGAACCCTCTGATTTATGTGTAGGGAAGCTGGAAATTGAAACGGTGATAGTTGAATCTCGATTTTGCAATCTTGTCCTCAAAGACCATGCTAAAGACTTCTAGGAGGTCATTGCATAGTGTTTTGTGAAGCAACGCTCTTACACAAAATGCTGTTTGAATGCTCATGAATGTGTTTGATAATCAGTCGATCACCGCTCATCGACTCACCTGAGGTTGACGCAACCGAGAAATCAAAACAAGATAATTCGTTAGCTCTCTAGTCACCAAATAAATGATCAAGCGATCTACTTTTTGATGGAGGGTTACTGCAATGTGCACACATATTGGCAGGGTTAATCTGGCTGAATTGCTCCAGTTAGAAAACTGAACTTGCATATTCCAATTTAGTACACTTAATGACGGAAAACTGAGCAATGCGTGTTTGTTTGTTTGATATGTGGAGACAACTCTGTGGAGAGGATTTCACTTTCCCAAAGTAAACTAAATAGAATTACGACGGGGGTCAAGCCAGTGGCAGCTATGCTTCTTGCATTGTCGATTTGTCTCTTGTTTTTCCTGGCATACATATTTTTTACTGAAACTGAAATACAAACTCTCTGTTGTTGCTGTATGCAGTCAGGCTCCAAATCTACCTACGCGATTTCAGATTCGTCTACAACTTGAAATTTATGTGTAAGTATGCGACGAAATTTTCCTACACCACAGCGAAGGCCATTTGCAAAGAATCGAAAATTTTGAGTAAATATTTTTGTTTGCTAATTTGTGTTCTTGAATTTCAGCTTGATTATGTCATCTTGATGCATTCATTTACTTTCGTGAAATCTCTGACCAATCAAAGGTCCGATCTGGTCTTGATCAAGACTCTCTGAAAACTACTACTGTTTCAAGTATCGATTCAAATTCGTGATCGTTTAGAGCTAAAACAACGCCATTTTGCACGTGTTTCGACTCACGCGCTAAGCACACACTTTGTGAGCTTTGACTTTCGTCAGAAAAGGAAATTGAACAGGCCAAAATCTATCAGTTCTGCAGCCTTCAGAAATTAAGTTGCAGTGCACACCAGTGACTTCGTAAGGCTGGGATTTGGGCAGCCCCTGGCGGTTTCATTCTGCCAACAATTGCAAAAATTTTGTCAAAACCGTGATTTAATCTAATGAAAGAACGTCATTTTTGTCAAAAAACCCTTTTATGAGTCGTTAGTTCATTCAAATCGAAAAAGGACTTTAAAGGTTTCGTTAAACAACGACTAGGTGTGGAAGAACATTCAGAAAGTTAAAATAGATTATCCTCATCGACACCAACGTGGTGGACCTTTAAAATGAACGGCAGTATCCACGTCGTCTCTGGTCATTTTTTTTAAATCGCGGGTAGCAGAGTACCATTGTCTGGCCAGATTAAACTCAGTACCTCCGATGTGATGTAAGACCACACGCAGGGGCACGCAATAGCGGTTAATATTTACAGCACACCGATAATCGTGTCATTATTTATACCACAATTATCCAGAAGGCTTATCCAAACCATATAGATTTTAATGTGCATACCTGGTCACTATGCTGTGCTACATCTCTTCTTGTGGTTCAAAGTATTTTTCCACAAAGGAATTAGTTTGAATTTTTCTTAAATTATCAGTAAATTTTTTTATTTCTTTCTTTCCACTAAAAAAATTGTTTATTAACCAATTTGGTCCTTATGGTAAACTCAAGCTATATTTTGTTGATCAGTTCAATTTTTCGGCAAAAATATTTCTAAAAAACCTATTTAATAGTATTTTAAATAAAGCCATTTTTGCGCAATTGTTTTCATTTTTATTAGTGTTTGCTCTATTTTGGTAATTTGCCTAAACAAGGCTAAATTTTGTGCAAAATTTATTGCCTAAATTAAAAAAATCGAGATAGATTAGGCAGTAATTATCACGTTAATAGTTATTGCCCATAAAAGCAGCAATGAAATAAATCTTTCTAAAGTCTTTTGTCAACTTGAAAACTAATAAATCTAAAATAAAAAATCATTGTTTAAATATATTTCATTTTTTCACTATCTTGTCACCAGCCAATTATCTCCCTCTTCTCGCTTAGCGGCTTTTTAAGCCACTGTGTGCTTGCGTTTTGGGATGTAATTGTCGTAATTGGTCGCGGATCAACTTACACTAATGAGAAGCGAGCAATCCTCTTGTACTCCTCTATCAACTGCGGAAGCTATAAGGAGAGCTGTCCTCCGGCTCTACTGCCTTGAAGATATATCTGTAATGGGTAAACTTGGAAGCGGTTTTTATGCCAATGTCTATCTTGTAAGTCCCGATTAATCTTTATATTGCGCTAGATTAACCACCGACCTTCTAAGCGGAAAATGGCCTTGAAAATCTCGCCGTCGGGCAATATTCAAAGACGTGAAATTGAGATTTTAAGGTCGCTACGCCATGATAATGTCCAGCGGTAAATATACACCTCCTTATATTTACAATTTAAATGCATTTCCCTTATGTAATCCGTTGTTTTATGTTGAATTAACATGTTGATGTCAGTTATGGTCAATATGTCGTTATACACGAGGGCCTTAAACTAGTTCCTGTTAAGGCCTCGTGGTTAAAATTGTCTCAATCTTTATGTCCCCTTTTTTTGAAATCTCTTTCCTTTTTAAAATGTTACACCTTTCTATTCCACTGACGTAAATTTTATTGATTTTTAGCACTGTTTTTAGCTTTTTTAATTGGTACTTCATACATTCATGTGGCTCATTTATATTGGCCACTAACATCGTCCCGTTAGATGTCCTCAGATTAGTTGTAGTTCGTGTTCTGCGTGTGTGGTGCTTGCCTTTTCATCCCTGCGTTCTGTTGTCGTTCATAATGAGTCTGTGATTTATTACAGTGAATGTGCATTGACCACTCGATCGTGGTTGCGCGAGTCTGTTCGTCTTCAATTTACGTCAAAACATACTTCAAAAAATAGTACTTTTGTAATCTTGTCAATCCAGTCATTGTAGAATCTCGAATCATCTCGAACTTGTTGCTAGGATTTTTGTGTTAAATAAATGTTTTCAAATTTTGCAAACACGTTGCTTCATTTTCATAATTAACAACTGCAATATGCCTGACAGCTTACATTTCATGTGGTTTTAGGCTGTATGGTGCCTGTGTTATCGGTGGGAAATTGGCTTGTCTAACAGAGGTGAGTAATCCTTTTTGTTCCAATATTTTTTAATATAATACCTATAAAAGGGGGATTTACCACTGAATTTTGTCTTTTAATTTGCAGTTAATTTAAAGTCGATAATTTCACGTGTTTGACTCCAACATGTTGAACTCTTTTTTTCTTAATCGCTGCCTTAAATGTTTTGACCTTTATAACTCCAGATGTTTCTCTTCCAACCAAATGTTTAGCATATTTGGTCCTAATGACGTGTACTTAGTCACGCACTTACGCTCGCACACATCCCCCCGCTATGTTATCGCATTCGCAGTTGCATTAGCAACTCGTGCCTGGTTTAATGCTTGCACTCATTTAGCTAGATAGTGTGAACAAATCGCGAACAAGGCCTCGATAAGCCTGATAAAACAGCCCTTTGACCATGTCGTAATTACACGATGTTTCCTCGAGCACGTGAGGTTTTGCCTTGTTTTTGCAGCTTTTTAATTTTTGCCCTTCTTATGGCTCCTTCCGTGATTAATTACTTTTCATCGGGGTAAAATTGCACCACAAAGTGATCAAAGGGCTTGTTTCTTAATTGATATCAAACCGCTTTTATGTGGTTACATTGACACATTTTTTGATGTCTCACGCGTCGTGTGCGTTGCTTGTGTTTTTCCATTAAAAGGAAAACCCGTTCTTTACTTCACTAACGGTCTTTCCACTCGTTTTGCAGTACGCCAACGGTGGAAGCCTGGCAGATCTGTTGACAGCCGCCTCCGCGCCACTTCCCTGGACCTGTCGAGTGAGCCTGGCTCTTGACATTATCCGTGGTCTCGGTCACCTCCACGAACACCGCCTCATCCATCGGGATCTCTCTTCCCAAGTACGTGCGCGTGCCTCTTGTCTGTTTAACGATTTCCATCTCTGTGTGTGCGTGTGTGTGTGCGTAAATTGCCATGTGATGTTACTCGGCCTGGACTGCGACAAGCTCAGGTGTGATTTGCAAATGCGTTTCTTCATGTTCTCTCATGCCCCGTTAATGCTTCTTAAGGTATTCTGTGTTGGAATAAGTTGCGCTCCTGCCTAAAGTCTGTTGAGTCTACATCCATCCGACCACCTGTGCTGATCCAGTCTACGATAAATTCTTCCCCGATTCTACAGCTTTACGGAGAGATTCGTTCTTCCTCCTCTTCCTCCTACGTTTATGCTTTACATGCGAATTGCTTTCACTTGCCTTACTGAAAGTGATCTATGACTCAGCGATCCTTAGCCCTAGTTTCCTTCCCTCTTCCACCCACCTCGACTGCCCTGCTTATCCTTAATGTGGTTTTGCAATGTCATGACCTAATGGTAATGAATTTAGGCTGACGTGGTTGTCTCTCTCTCTCACACCACCTCCATCACCACCACCTTTTTCGCGCGCATCGACGACTAAACCGAGTCACTTTGTAAACAAACCAGCCAGCTGAAGGCGCAATCTTGTCTGCGGCTCTCGACCGTCAATCCGTCAATCGGTGCTCAATTCGAATCGATTTTGGTTACCCACGTGTGTCTGTGTGTCGAACGCGCTAAATTTGATTTAATTGCCAATCAAAAAGGGCATGCGCTGCCCCAAGCAATCTGACTGACAGTTGCGGTGTTGGTGGTACTGGGTGTAGACAGCGTGTGCGAGAGCGTTCCGGTGACACGTCAAGGCTAATTAATGTTACTTTTTTGACGCAAAAGTGATGCCTTTACCCCTAAGCAACTGCACTGCCTTACTGACACAATCCGCCTCGCGTGATAGCAATTAACCACTTTCTCTGTGACACCTTCATTTCTGGAACGTTTAGTTTCACTCCAACGGGCCGGTGTTGTGGGCGTTAATTATGCCTCGTTATTTCATCACTTGTGTGTGTGTGTGTGTTTATTGTACGGGTCAAGCTGAAGTCTAATCCGTGTGCGCCTGCTAACGACGCATTCAGACGTGGCGAACCAAGGACACGTGGCTTTTTTCACTGGGGTCATGTTCGCTTCAAGCCAACCAAGACCGAGCAATGTCTCTTTTTAGAACCGTGTGCTCAACTGAAGGTGTTCCAGTTTGAGCAGAGTTTTTCAGCCAGACTGTTTCCATCAGTACCTATGAAACCGGTCCAGCTAGACCCGTTGGCTGCGTTTCCGTGATTGGTTTGTTCACCTTGGGCGTATTGTGCTACGTCAATTTTGCGTTCCACGCATACACATTCGCACGCTTTTATCAGTGGCCTAATCACCGTTTCTAATATCAACAAAGGCGGCCCAGGTGCAGCACAGGTGATTTCGGATACTCGAATGCCCACATACGTTGTGTGCGTGTATTTAGGCACTCGTTAATCGCCAAATCTCTGTGTGTCTTGCCACCTGGTCGCCGATTTGTCAAGTCGCCACTTTCGTTGTCAACTTTGAAAATACGCAAACCGCAGAGCTTCAACAGTTGCCTGTTCTGGTTGGGGTAACAGATCGAGACAAGTAGGCTGATGCTTCGCGCCATCGACACTCACTGCTGCCAAGCCAGTGTCGAGGCATTGTGGTAATTCGGCTCCCACTCTCCAATTTATGCTGTTCTTCTTGTGCCACCTCCCCAGAACATCCTTATTCGTGTCAACCTCGATGGCAGCGTGGCACCGCTGTCGGCGTGGACGTGCAATTGCGGCGGCGCCGGCGAACCCGAGGGTGGAGGCTTCTCCCGCGGACTCAACGTCGACCAGCTGGTGGAGCTGTGGAAGCCCGGCGCCCCGCCACCCCCCGAAATTCCCAAGATCTCCCCTCTCACCGCACCACCCAGCCTCCTGCATCGCTTCCATCGACCTGCGTACACCGCCGTAGTTGGGGACTTGGGCGTGTGTCTGGATCTGCGACAGTGAGTCAACGCCTAATGTAAAAAATCAAAATCAGCTCAGCTTCGCTCCTAGTGCTTTATCTCACACTCAAATCGACATTCTAGGATCAAGCCCTAGGTTCTTCTTTTTTTTTTATTTTAACGGTCACGTCTGCTTAACTCGTTTTAACACTTGCGGGGAAGCGGGACAGTCGAAAATCACTCTGAAACCATTGGAAATTCTTTTTACCTGGCACAATCAATGCACTGTTTAAGGTTCTTCTCGTGCAAATTGTGATTTGGATATTTTGCAAAAGTAATTAGTACGTGCTTTACAATACATGCGGTGAAAATGTGTCACTTAAACACAAAAAAACGCCTGCCCACTTGTTGAAGACAATTCGCTAACAGCATAGAATCAACTCGAGTGCGTGAGTTTGACCTTTCAACCAATGTTAGTCTGGGAACTTGACCTGACCTTGAGCCGACCAATAGCGGAGGGTCCTAATCGGATCATCTTAGTACGCTCCAGAAGAGGGCCTCGTCAGAACTGTAATGCACTTTATTCAATCAATATTGGAACCAAACCGTCCTATTTTACGCTGCTTTCACGTGCGTTGGCTTTCATGGCACCTTCACGAATGGAGCCAGCCACCACCTGAGACGCATTCTAACCAATCAGAAGGCCTCCTGCTTAATCACACTTTCGTGAACCCCGAACATATCAAAGTTTATTCACAAGGTACTGGGAGTTTACGTCAAAAAAGTCCCTTTTTACACACAAAATATGCCCTACCTTTCGCGATGAACGCAAATTCGCAGCTCAAGGATTAACCGCCTGAAATTTGCTTCGTTTTCTGATCAGCCGCGTTGCCTTTCGTAATGTAAACCTCAAGCCTTGCACGAGTATCCACTGTGTTGTGGACGCTCAGGTAAAAAAAAAACATTTTTTTGTTGTGTTTGTGACCGATGAGAACGTACAGACGTGGGGAGGGAGGGAGGGAGGGGGGAAGGTTTCTTACAAATGTGATTGGTGGAATTCCGTTGCGAGAACGCCAACCTTGGCAACGAGGCACGAACGCGCGTTGTTCAACCCCCTTTGCTAAGGTCACCCTTGTAAACACATACACAAAATGCAGGTTAGCAAGTGGCCCCTATGCAAACCTTGAGAGGTCAGTTAACCTGGTTGCGGAAAGTGAGGCATTCAGCATGTTGACGCGATGATTAACACCAAACAACGTGAATTTTCCGCGTGATTTTATTTATCAAGTATGCGGCAATTGCTCAAGGCCGTGGTTGTCGTACTCAGCACACACACACACACACACACAAGGGTAGACAGATAGAAGGGGTTGAGTGTGTGTGTGTGCGTGTGTGCGCGCGCTAGTTAATAACCGAATTAAGCTTCATTCTATCCATTCGGTTAGCGAAGGAGCACGTGGCTCGCGCTGGAAAGTCCAAATTTCACACAGTTTCGATTAACATGGCCACACACACACACGCACGAAGCGGCAATCACACAAGTGAAGATATCCGCATGCTCACGTCGGATACTCGCGGTATCTCGAAGTGTGTGTGTGTGTGTCGTTAATTCAATTAACGAACTCTCGAGATCCGACTGTTTCCACTGTTCCTCGGTCTCCAGCTACACTGACTTTGATGTGCTTTTTCCGGTTGATTCCCCTTTGTTGATGTCATTTTTTAAGTAACTTCGCCTGCTTGGAGGACTTTGGAATGCTAAATCAGGTCACCTGATTATTGTAATTAGTTGTCGCTGCATAACGAAGCTTCTCAATCGCAAACAGCGCGTGTTGCACTTTGTTATTGCGCGCGCGCGCGTGCGTGTGTGCGTGTCTTGCTTTTTTGGTTCGCAACTTGCGTAAAAATGGCAGTCGGTGTTTGCATCGGTTCAAATCTTGTTGACTTCTTGTCCAATTACTCGCGGGTAAACGCGTTCGTCCAATGGGCTTTCAGGTCAGCTCGCCCATCCCTGTGAACTGTCATTGGCTAGTCGGCGTGTGCGCTGAATTGCAGTGTCATTTGAAGTGGTTGGATTCGAGGTTGACACGCCTAAACCACCAACCACTTTACCTCAAGTTTCTTTGCTGGCAAGCTGTCAATTCTCACCTCGTAGCGCCTATTGGCCGAGACCACGGCGCCTTTTAAATACGCACACTCTGTGTGTGCTCTGATTGGTCAAAAGCGGGGGCTGTGATCTGTTGGTGTTATCACCACGGCGACTTGTGTGCTATAAACGGATCTGTGCTGGTCCAGCCTACGACCATTGTCGCGAGTTAACTGCTGATTGCGGTGATGATGCTGTAAAGAAGTCTAGTGACTCAAATTTCTCGCACGCAAAACTCGTATTTCTTGGTTCGATGGAATCTTGAGAGTCGCGTGCAACCCTTCGGGCGTACGTATCATAGAAGGGTTCCAACGGCCGCGCGAAAACCCATGACTCGACGCACTCGCGACTTGTCGTGCACGTGATTATCCCCACTTCGTCCTCATTACGTCGCAGGCGAACGCTTCGCCTAAGCATTAAACTAACGCCTAGTGCTTATGACTTGAATCGGCAACAACTTGGGCACGCGTCTGACACCACCACCATAACTGGCGCCGGCAGCCACACAAAACGACAATCGATTTTTCCCTGTCTATGGGAATGTCTGTGGTTTTGGCGTTGGACGCTAAATGCCTTCCTCGACTGGTAGTAACCCGTAGCCCGTGTTTGCCGACCTCGTCAGCGTGTGTGTGTGTGTGTGTGTGTCAAGTTGGTGTGGTTTTGCTCAAAACCTTCACACGACGTGTGGCGCTGCGCGTACAGCGGTTAGTCACTGCCCACCACCGACTGTCACCCCCACTGCGCCGAGTCACGCTGAGCGACGTGTTTTGAGCGCGGCAAGTGTCGAATGCCCGCTACCTCCTTCCTTCCTTCGTCGTGTTGTTCGTGGCGTCGGGCTAGTGGAATAAGGATTTGTGTTGCCACGAGATTATGCAGTTGTGGCGTAAACAGGCAATAAACACACGGGCTATTTGTGTGTGCGTGGGTGTGTGTTTATTGTGTGATGTTTTTGTTGGTTGTTATGCCTTTCTCATCCACTTCCCAGCTACAATTTTGTCATCGTAAACAGTTTGCTTGAGTGAAAGGTTTCGATTTTGAAGGGGGACAACGCGCTCCTATCAAATTTTTCTTTTTTGTCAAGTGTCGTGTAGTCTAGTGACCTGCCAGCACTAAGCACGTCGCTGACAAAACCCCTCAACGCTGAATATCCTGATTTGACCTTCTGGATGCCTTGAAGCAATTGCCGGTTTCTAGGGCACGTGTGTGCCTGTCAAATCCCGCCTTCCCCCCTCCCCACTTCCACTCCCTATCTTGTCTGAAGCTCTAGTTAGCTGAACTCAAGTCGTGAGTACGGTGTGAGCCCAAGGAACGTGGCGTAGCAAGAGCATTTAACGGACCGCTTCCACGCCAATCGATTTTTTCGCCTTTTTGATCCAGCTATGTGTGTGATTTGGATGTGGCACAAGTG